GCCGTTGGCAAAATGGTTTCAGTATTGGCCACTTATTAATTTAAACTTAAGAACTACCCCTCGAGGATTGCCCCTCTAGTCTGGTGGAGGGGTTCTTCAGTCCTTAACAATTCCCTACGTCAGCTGGAGCTTGAGCTTCTAGTAGGAAGTACTTGATGAACAGGTCTGTGGGAAGAGGCCCGACAAACTGTAATTCAACAGAGACCCAACATAAAAGGCACCAAAACAAACAAGCATACCCTGCCAGCAACGCGGTTCCCAGGACTATCGCTTGGAACCAGGCCTGGGGATGATGTTTGCAAGCAAGTGCCAAATAGCCAAGCTGGAACGACTATGGGGAGTCAGCTGGAGGGATCAACACGAGATGAAAGGTGTGGAGCAGGTGCAGTGCCATGTGGGCCACAAAAAGACAGAAAGGTATTGGTTAGATATAGTCCACCTTACCTTAATGCATAATATGAGCAGATGTTTTGATCAGGGTGAAGTTTCTCCTAATCTGAAGTCCCCAATGTTGAAAGACCTATGGACTCTGTGGTCCTGCTGAGAGACTACAATGCTCACATGGAGAATGATGAAGATACCTGGAGGGGTGTGATTAGAATGCCCCCCTAGGTCTTAACCCAATGGTGAATTGTTATTGAACATCTGTGCAAGTCATGGATTTTCCACAAAAAGATCATGTTTGAATGCAAGAATGTTCATCATTGTACATAGTACCTAAGCATCCGATTCAGAAGGTCCATGATCAACTATATAGTCATGTAATTTGAATTGAGGCCATGTGTTTTGGACAGTCAGGTAAAGAGAAGCGCAGAGCTATCAACTGATCACATGGGAAGGAGGCCAGATGGCCCAAGACGACCCAAACGAGCAGTTAGGGTTTCCTGGGAATGTCTGGCTGAAGCTTCTGTGAGAGATGGATTCAACTCACAGCTCTGGAAAAAAACTTCTGCATGCTGAGTGAGGTCGGGGACATTGAGTCTGAATGGACCATGTTCAAGACCTCAATTGATGCAGCAGCTGCAAGGAGCTGTGGCCAGAAGGCAGTCGGTGTCTGTTTTGGACCTGCTGGTGGATACCTGATGTGAGGGAAACTGTCAAGTTGAAGAATGAGAGCTTCAGGGTAATGCTTACATGAGGGTCTTCTGAGACATCTGAATGATACCAACAGGCCAGAAAGGCTGCAGAAAAGGCAGTCAAAGAAGTGAAATCTTATGGATGGGAGGAGTTTGAGGAGGCCATGGAGAGAGACTAGTGGCCCCAATGATGTTTTGGCAAACTGTTCAACAGCTTAGGAGGTGGAGACAGGGCGGTGCTCAGACTGGGTTCAGACAGGGTGGGGAAGTGCTGACTAACTCTGTGAATACTGTTGAGTGGTAGAAAGTTGAGGAATTCTTCAACCCTGTGGGTATCCCATCTTACCAGGAAGCAGAAGTATGAAACTCCTGGTGGATCAGAGCTGCCACTCCACACCAGCCGAAAATATTATAGTGATCACATGACTTTGGGGTAGAAAGGCTGCAGAGATAACATCTGTCCAGAGATACAGAAAGCAGTGAGTGCTGTTGTGGTCCTTTGGTTGATATTGCATAGAAGGAGGGATAAGTAAATCTGGGCTGGCAAACTGTTCCAGTTCCACTTCATATTTGAACCTGGGATTCAGGAGGAACAATGTGGATTCTGACCTGGTCATGTAGTGGACAAACTCAACTCCCTTGACAGCTATGTGAGAGCTTCTGAGAATATGCTAGCACAGTCTACATGTGCTTCGTGAAGTATAATCACGTGCCCTGGCGCATTCCTTGGGGGTGTTGCAGGAATTTGGGGTCTAGGTGCCACTACTGCATGGTATTTTGTCCCTGAATGAATGCAGTAAGAGTTGTGTCCGCAACCTTGGCACTAAACTGAAGCCGCTTAGAGTCAGTATTGGCCTCAACAAGGGTATGTCTTACCTCCACTCTTGGTTGTAATTTTCATCTGCAGCATATCAAGACACAGCCATGGCTAGAAGGGCATCCCTGCTATTCGTACCTGATGTTCTGCTTGTGGACCAGTTTGGTCATTGCTCTGCCCTAGACCACAAAGCTCTGCAGAGGGTATTATGTCCAGCTGCACACATCAGCAAGGCTGATGAGTCCTTGAAGGAGGTCATTGGTGATGAAGCTGTAAGACAGGATTTGCAGTTTACAGGTGAAATTATCTCTATCTTCATCTACAGTCATGAGGTTCTGGTCATGAACAACAACTGTGACAGTACAAGAAGCCAAAATGAGGTTTCCCTGCGTGATTTCTGGACTCACTCCCCATGACAGGCTGAAGAGTTCTGTGATTCAGAAGGAGTACAGAGTACAGCTGCTAGTCCTTCAAACTGAGAGAAGTTAGCCGAAATGGTTTGGGCATCTTATAAGGGTGCCACCTGGACAGCTCCCAAAGGATCTGTTCCAGGTACGTCCCACTGGCTAGAGGCTCCAGGGAAGACCCAGGACAGACCTGAGGGGTTATACCTTCCAGCTGGCTTAGGAATGTTTCAGGATACTCCACAATAAAATAGACTGGCCAGGAAAAATACTGCCATCTTGTCCCTCGCCAGCAAAAGCGGAGGGAAAATGTTTATGAAACACAACAAGATACTGTTCAGTGAAGGTGATATCAGTGAAGGAAATATTTTAAGCTAGCAATGCAACTCTTTCACGAGGCTGTCTTTGACGCCTTATCTTACATCCCAAAGAAAATGTAAGGGGATGTAAGGGGACGCTGAGTGTATAGTAGTTTACTGCCGCGTGAAATCATACGTGTTTGGTTCCTTTTTAGCTTAGCTATTCCCGTTAGGAAAACGATCTGATCACTTTTCCGTATGTCAGCAGTTATGCGGAGTTGCTCAATATGAAAGACGTGAGCACTAATACTGCTGACTAAGTTTTCGCAGCCTGTTGGAATTGTAGTTTATCATCACACCAAAACATGTTTCCCCTGATGTTGGAAATAACTACATTTCCCATACTACACTTGCCCACGTTGTCATACACATGTTTTTGTTTGTGCAGAAGCAGCTGACACGCCGAGGAGGAGGTGCAATTATGTGTAAATTATTTTGCTTTGTACGGTTCTACGAACCAACGATTTATATTTAAAGCTGCTTTGATTTCACTTATTGGGAAGAGACACTGAGCAACGTAAGTAATTGCTTTGGTGGCAATTTAGTTAGCCATCTGTTCTCTACTTGTTTTTTTCGGAGAGGGATGCTTTTTAACGTGATTTCTGTATGCGCAATTACTTTTTAATTAATTAAAGGCATACCTGTTCAGCCGTGGGGAACTGATGTATTTGACTGAATCGTGTATGTATAGTTCGCGGTTTGTCCTTGGCGGTATTTCGCACAAAGGACAGTCCTGTATTTAAAAGTTCAGCCGAGCGGCAGGCCTGTGTCGCTCGCTGGCTGAAGTTCACAGGCTACCACAGATGCGCAGATTGCGTTTCGTCTGTTTACCGAGCGGCTGTTTACCGAGCTGCCTATTACGTCACCACCGTCGACTCTGTTTTAAGGTCATAAACTTCTGTTTAACCACTTTAAGAATCATGTTTGCTATTTAAATTCCATCGAGTTGTATATTTTATCTTTATTTTGTGAAAGGCAAATGGAGTTTTTTTTAGATCTAAATAAGTACACAGATATATGGAATCCATCGTATCTCATGCAATAAACTGATAAACTATGTTTTCTTACAAAATAAGTGCATTTCCTGTTATGTCAATTTAATTAAAGTAAGTAAATCAGAGCAAATTTCAGACGTCAATAATAGTGATGTACGGTATTTGATAGTTGTTTTTTTTATGAAGGCTGTTAGTCACGGTTCGTGTATAGTTACTGAACAGCAGTGATTCAGTGTAAACAAAAAAGGGTTAGTGCACTTCAGTTTGTTGACAACAAACTACTTTTTTGCCATCACAGCGAATCGGGATTCAAGCTCAGTTATCATCTGTCTACCCCCCCAAACCCCCTCCCCACTTGTCCTCTAATTTTCACCTCCCTCCGAATGTCCTCCCCCCCTACAGGTCCCTCCTTCAGCATGGGAAAGGGCCACGTGGTGTTCCTGAATGTGGAGCAGTACTATTTCCCCGAGAGCAGGGTGGAGTGTCACTACAGCCTGGGTCCGGGCCACAGGTGGGCCAGTACGGACTGGATCGGCCTTTATAAGGTACCCTTCCTCAATCATGGCAGGTCATCATGCCACCTCTTCGTTTAGTGGTGCCACTGTGCCCGTGTGCACTGAAACCAGCCCAGTGAGCTTTCAGAACCTCTAATTGAAGGCCTACTGGACTTAGGGATGAGTAAGAAGCCAAATATGAACCTCTACAGTCATCTACAAAAATGTACATAGCTACCTAAAATTAGTACATGAGAAAGCAGGGGAAAATGCACCGCTCATTCAGATCCACAGCGTCAGTGTTTGCCTCATTTACCTATCAGGCTGAGGCTTAAATGCAGCCTTGTGGTTCTTAAAACCACTGTGATAAAGATAATTACCCTGCAGGTGAAGGTATTCCAGCCCTCCAAAGGTGTGTCCAGGGGGCAGTCAGAGTACCAGGCACACTTTCTCTTAAAAGACAATTAGGTGTCATTTAAAATAAGTATTAGTGAGCAATGAGCAGTAATTAGGCTGACGTCACGCGCGTGAGGCCTGTGCTGTTAAACCGCAGATGTCGGTCGTGTCGCTTTGGTCGTTTGCCTGGCGGGTCGCTGAGCGAAGGCTGGAAGCGGCAGCCGCCTCGGGTCGCATGGTTAACCATGGAGACTTCCTTCCCAGGTGGGATGGTCCTCCGTCAGGGATTACCACACCTACGTCTGGGCCCCCGTCCCGCAGGCCTGTGGACAGGAGAGTGATGCCCGTGGCTGTGTGCATTTCCAAGGTACGCTGGCATTTCGACACGGTTGCATGCGGCCTGCCTCGGTCGCGGCTGCTACCCTGCCGTGTTCCCCGTGTCCCCGTTATGTCCTGTATCTAGCTTGGGTCGGCAGTAATACCCCCTCCCCCGCCGGCTGTAATATCTCAGTTTCATTTGAATTCCCTTGTCGGAGCACTGTCCTTAAATATTTATGACTTCTGCATTAGGGAGGCACGGGGGCGGGAGGGTTACCCCCGTAGCCTCACACGGATCTGAGTCCCACCTCTGCTGAGCTGGCATGTTTTCCCCAAGTGTCCTCACACGGTCCAGAGACATGCAGTTTGCAGGCTGTTTGGTGTTTCTAAATTGGCCCTAGTGTATGATTGTGTGTGTGTGTGTGTCTGTCCATGTTCCCTAAGACACACTGGGATTCCTTCCACTGGCCATCCTTGCCTATTGCCTAATCCTGCCTGAGACAGGCTTTAGCCCTCCTTGCAGCAGTTAGTTGATGGATAGATTGTTATTGTCCATGTGAATATCTGTGTAAAAAATGGAAACATACAAGTTGCAGGTAATAGCACTAAACTGGCATCCGCTAAGTGCTCCCAGTGAGCTGACGATGGAGTATCCAGCTCTGCAGTGTGAGATGTGTGTCGGATCAGAACATTTAAAGGGGCCTGTTCATTTTAAATGCCAGACAGCCGGCCCACGGCCAGCTTATTTATTTAATAGCGTACATTTAATTCTTTAATGACATAAATCTAATATGCAGTAAAAGGATGTAGATTCCGCCGTATTATGTGCTGTTAGGCCTGACTGCAGTGATTTTGTCATGTGACTAAATGACCTGCCACTATCATCTTGAAAAACATTTCAGAATATTTCAGAATTTCAAATAGATAACTATCTACAAATTGATAACTATCTACAAATATCTACAAATATATAACTACAGAAAAACTACAAATGTATGATCGAAAAATATGGGTGGTAAATTAAGATTGATTTTTTTTTGGCCTATATTTGTGTCCCCCAGTCTACATAGATTTTTGGCTGCGAGGCTCACTGCACTGCCAATCCTCCTCATTGCAGTGTGACGGCTTGCTTCATGCAGGCCGAGTGTCGCTTAGGTAGCCAGACCAAATGGGCCGTCCAGGGAATTCAGTGCTGCCGTTCCTGACAGCACCAAGTCTACCATTTAAGATCATTTTTTAAATTTCTTTTTTTCTTGTGAATATTAGAAACTGTTGTCTTGTTTTGTGCTTTTGTTTTTAGGTTTTGTTTCAATGGAAACATTACACTCACTTTGTTAATTACAAAATTAAAAATTTCTTTTATATCAAATTCTGGAAATCATAAATTTCAGCTTTTAAAAATATTTTTCGGCAGAAAAATAACTTGTGTTGATGGCTTTGACAGAAAAACATACTCCTCAGTTACTGACAAAGAGGACAATTTTGCCCCCTGCTGGACATCAAGTAACAACACCCCCCCCCCCCAACCTCAGCCAAGCCCTGCTTTTATTTAATAACTGGAGTCCGTGCTCAGTCTGAGAAGGCATTTTAACAGGTATTCTGAGGTAGAAGAATACCTCCGTGTGTCTGCGGGACCGTGTGGCAGACATGGCCACCCCCATATTTTTTCTGGTGGTGTGTAATGAATTATGGCTGGAGGCTAAGCCAGATAAAAGAAAGAGACTGTAAAACAGCCAAAATCAGTGCTCATTAAAATAGATTTTGTTGTAAAATGTTTCCTATGGGAAATTATCAGATTATGCATTGAAAAGGCTGAGAGATTGATTTATATGCAATAAGAAAGGCTTTGTGAGATTTTTGGGGTGTCCCCCCCCCCCTAAAATCCAGATCAAATTTAAAAATAATGGGAGGTAGGAGAAATGAGATAAAATTAGCAGAAGTGTGGGGAACAGATACGCTTCACTTAACGAAGAGCTACCCCAAGATAGCCACTTACAGTTATTAATTAAGACCCCACCCTGTACTTAAGTATTAACCTCCATATGGTCTAGAAGTCCATGGAGCAGGTAAAGCCTCATCAGGTGCCCCCTGTGTGCTGGTGTGCCAGCTTGTCTACGCAACAAATAGAGAATTTCGCTAATGATGCAAAGGTCACGGGTGTGAACTGGCGGGAGCGCATATAAAATGTAATCTTTCCCTGTACTGTAAGCCGTTTGGACAAAAGCATCAAGTAAATGAATGAATGAAAATATCTGTCTGTTCCAATAGTGGAGTCAACATTTCTAGAAGTTTCCGGAGCGGTTTCGTTGTGTTCCCGCTGCCCTCGTGTGTTATGTGTGTTCGCTTCAGTGGATTCAGAAGTCCTTCTTTCCTTGTCTGTCTACCAGCCTCATACCTTCCCAGATCTGGCGCTGTGACCTACCAGTTCGTGTATGTGGACGGGAAGGGCGAGGTCTGTGCACAAAGCCACCCCTTCACCTTCCGCTCCCCCAGACCGCTGGATGACCTGGCCACACTGGACGGGGGACGAGACGGCGAGGACTCTGGGGAGGAGATGCTGATGGTGGTGCCCAAGGCGCATCTGCTGCAGGTGCAGGTCTAATAGCAGAAGGTGGGGGGTTCTATTGGCATAGGAATGGGAATCAACAACTCTAGCGACAGAAGAAGATAACTGTTCTGGATTTACGTGGCCATAAAAGGTAATTTACAGACGGTCGTTAAGTGTCGCCTCGTGTCTCTCCCACCCGATTCCTCCTGAGCAGACTCGCCTCGAGGGGTGCCTCGAGGAGCTCTCCGAACTGCGGCGGGTCAAGGAGGCGGCTGAAAAGAGGGAGAGGAGAGAGAGGGAAAGGATGGAGAAGGCCAAGGAGGAGTGGGCAGGGCAGAGACTCGCGCTGGAGGCTGAGTCGCGTGACCTGGAGGGGAAGCTGAAGAGGAGCAGAGAGGAGATTGAGAAATTTAAAGAGGAGACGAAGGTAGAGAATCGCGGTGGGGGGCTGGAACGTGGGGGGGGGGGGCTGGCAGCACTGACGCTCACATCATCCACAGATATAGGAAGAAACAGCATTTACATGGCAACCCATTTTCATCTGCGTCTACACGCTTTGGTCGCGTTCCCTTCGATTTTGCACCGTGTTCTACCACCCGGCCAATAATCTGCATCTGACGAGCGATTTGTCAATTAAAAAATGGAGGTGCGCTTTTTCAATCGATTTGCGTGAGATTCATTTCACGTGTAGCGTAATCCCATGCCATTGCTTTCCTTCTTAAACGCTCCTGAAATGCTTTTGTAAAAGCAAAACTTCCAAACTACTTGGGGCGCGGGAGGTGACAGCGGAACAGTCACACAGGCGAGCTTGAGTTTCACTGGATGGACGAGAAAGGCGACTGGGACAGACGGGGACCTTCCAGCTAAGACAAATAAAACAGAAATGGCTCCCCTTAACGGCCTCCTCTTCCCCTTAGCGAAGGCTTTTTATTCCCAGTTCTACCTGTTTATTACAGTTTGGTGTTTTATGGGAGCAATAATAGCAATCTTGATAACAATAATAAAGATGATTTATACGGCACCTGTGATTCTGGCTTAGCTGCTCAGATCATTTAACCAAAACAGCTGAAGGTGTTAGGTAAAGGGGCGGAGCCTGAATTCTGCTACCTTCGCCATCCTTGTGTCACGTCAGGGCAGGACACGCCAAACTGCTAGGAGCTCAGCAGCGTACTTACATGGGTCACGCTTTACTACACATAGAGGTAATCAAATTGTTGGTGCTGAAGGCAGTTTACAGGTTGAGGTTTCCCTCTACCATGAGTATGCAAATGATTGCTTACATTAACAGTGGGGTGGAAGGAATGATGCCAAAGGTTTGCATTGAAGATCCACCTTCGGATATTGAGCAGGTTAGCATTTGTACCGTCATTAGCGTATCGGCGCTGTCAAATGAAAAATGTGTGTCTCCATCCACGTGTGAAATAAAACGCATTTTCTCAGAAAGTACTTTGCAAAATACAACTAAAACAATATAATTGGACACCCATAGCACCACAAATACAGAGCTATCTACTTAGGCGGATTGTTGTCAGTGAGGCCTATATATCAGTACCAACAAGATACAAACTAATATTACTGTATATTCACAATTAACAATGTTGTTAGTTAGCTAGTTATCTATCTATTAATGTTATGTAAGTAAAAATTGCCATATAAAGTAATTCAAACAAAGGACCATCCTGAATACAATTAACTAGTACACACTTAAATACTACTTAAATAGGTTACGTCATAAAACATCTTTTCATCGGTCAATTAGATGTCAGACCAAGAAGAATGGACATATTCCATCTGTCATAAGGAGCTACAATCGTCAAACAGGGGTTTTCATTGGACAATGACCATATGCAGGTTCCCTCAAGGCTGACTATGATTGGACTTAGTCTCAAGCTGTGAGATACATGATCATTCCTTCGTCTACCTGCAGGAGGCGCAGTCCTCTCATGAGGCACAAACGACGGAGATGGAGGGCATGCTGGCCGAGAGCCGACAGCGGGTCGGACAGCTGGAGGAAGACTTCAGGGCACTGATGGAGCGAGGGCTGGAGAGGGAGTCCGAGCTGGACAGGTGAGCGTTCCCGGTCCCGGTCCCGGCTGGCCCTGCATCCACTCCTCGGCCTCGGTGGTGGTAGCCGGATGTGTCTCCCTCCCGCTTTAGGATGAAGGAGAGGCTGCGGCGGGTGTTGGCTCAGAAGAGGGAGGAAGAGGAGGAGAGGAAGAGGCTGGAGGTAACCCGAGGCCCTCCGGCTTCACCCATCGTGCAGTTGCCGCCACACACAGCAGATTCCGCACTGATATGATCGCCCTCCCCAGGCCCGGCTAGAGCAGTCGGATGGGCAGCTGCGCAGCCTCACCACAGAGTTCCAGGGGCTCAGGGGCTCTGTGGCACAGAAGGACACTGAGGCTGTACAACTGAGGCACTCAGTCAGCATGCTGACTCAGAAGCTGAACACAGCCCTGAGCAGGGAGGTGAGCATGGGGGGGTTGCCATAGCAACATGCCGCAACGCAGATAACTAAATGTGTGGAAAACAGCCAACTCTGTCTCCCTCTCTACCGCCCCCCGAAGACAGAGCAAGACAGTGCGCTGAGTGAAGTGGGCGTCCTCCGAGAGCGGCTGACCAGCAGCGAGCGTGTGGCGGACAGCCTCCGCGCGGAGATGGTCCGTCTGTCCACGCAGCTGGATGGCGGCCAGGCCGAGCTTCACCAGACCCGCCTGCAGGTCGCCCGGCTCACCCTACAGCTGGCCGATGGCAGCCTGGCGTTGCGAGAGGAACGCGCTGCCCATGCGCGCCAGCGGGAGGCGCTGTGCCGCAGCTCTGAGGTGCAGGAAGGGGGAGGGGCTAATCTCGAGATAGGAAACGGCATCCCCCACTGAGCGGTGCTGACTGTCACCCCTCCTTCCCCCCCCACAGGCGGAGAAGGAGCGGGCACGGGAGATGAGCGTGGAGGTCCAACGGAAGGAGCAACAGCTTCAGCAGCAGAGGATGGAGAGGGAGAAGCTGGAGGTGGAGTCGGAGAAGCAGAAGGACTGCCACCGTGTAAATACCCGGCCACTGCAGCCCGTCTCCGCGGCAGGCTTCCATAGTGACACCCGTGTTCATCTTTTACCTAAACCGACTAGTGGCGGCATTCCTTATTCAGTGTATACGGCAGCCTTCTTTCAGTACTTAAATCCGTAATCATCACATGAACACAAACACTGGCTTCTCCTGCCGGCTGAAAGGTGTTTTTCCTGTATACTGCCCCCTGCAGGTACAGCTGAGCGAGGCACGCAGGGAGCTGCAGGAGCTGAAGGCCAGCCTCCGTGTGGCCCACAAGGAGCAGGAGCAGCTGCTGCTGGAAAAGCAGGCAAGGCTGAACCGGGTCCAGGCAGAACTTTCTTGGGCTGAGAGAGTCCATTATAACAGGAGCCAATCAAGCGCGAGCATGTAACTGTGAGCATGACTGTGACTGTGTGACTTTCAGCGTGAATGTGACTGTGAGCATGTAAGCATGACTGTGTGACTGTGAATGGGACTGTGAGCGTGACTGTGTCACCGTAAGCATGAATATGGCAGTGAGTGTGACTGTGTGTGAGCATGGGCATGACCGTGACCGTGACCATGGGCATGAGCGTGACCGTGACCGTGACCATGGGCATGAGCGTGACCGTGAGTGTGGGCATGAGCGTGGGCGTGACCGTGACCGTGGGCGTGAGCGTGACCATGGGTGTGACCGTGAGCGTGGGCGTTACCGTGAGCGTGGGTGTGACCGTGACCGTGACCGTGAGCATGCTCTCCCCTGCATGCCCAGGATCTGGAGGCTTACGCCCGGCAGCTGGAGCGGAGGCTGGAGGCAGTGGCCGGCACCCGCTGGAACGAGGGCCTCTTCAACTCTGGCAGTGAGTCACTGGCGTGTCCATAGGCGACTTTCCCAGGGGTACCGAGGGTGCAACTGCACCCCCTACTGGTCAGATGAAAAAACAGCTTGAACATATTAAGTTAATCCATACATCCATTCATCCATCACTCTATCCATACTATGGAAGTATAACAAATCCTCTACTTCCTTCTTACTTTCTGAACACAGCTTGATGGAGAAAGAAAATACTAGAAGATAAGATTACTTTTATTTGCAGAGAATACTCAGCAGCAGAGTAATCCACATTCCAAAAAGTGAAGCCCTGAACCAAGAAAACCTCCAAGCTTAGATACCTTAAAACCACAGGCCCAGGGACAACCCCTGCCTTTCTGCTGGTGGCCTTCATCTCACGGGGCCTGCATGATCCCCCACGTCCAGCATCCTTCTGCAGTCCCAGCCACCTCAACACCCTGGGACCCTGTCCCATGGGTATTCTAGTCATGCCGTCATTGAAGCTCCTTTCACCAAAGACACTCAGACTCAACGTGGCTGGAACATCAGTGGTCAACCCATGATTGATACCATCAGCCTTAAGCACACTCACCACAATCACATCCCAGAATCATCATTTCCCTCAATGAAAAACAATCAGCTGACGTGCATTAAAGCTTTCCCCAGCTCCCCCTGCAGCTCGGCTCGCCCCGTTCCTTGGTATCTGGAAAGACTGCGGAGGAGACCTCTCTCTCTCAGCGAGGTCGCAGGCAAACACCCTCTGCACCAGCAGCTTAAGCACAGCCCAAGGACAGAATAATCAGACATTTATCTTCTAGCCTAAGACCAAAGTGAATCCCACTAAGCCCCCACCCAGGCTACCTCACACATAGTTCCCTCAAAAATCCTTCCGGAATACTTCCATCCATCCATCCATCCATCCATTTTCTGTACACGCTTACCCAATGCGGGGTCGTGGGGGTTTGGAGCCTAGTATGGCTTGTGTTAGTCATATCAAGGTGTAATAATAATTTATAAGTGTATTTGCTATTTATTTTTTTTTACTCTGGATGAATGAACATTTGGCTCTCTCCCCCCCCCCCCGGGTGTCACACGTGGCTCTGTGGTTGTCCGTCTGCCCCCAGGTCGCCCTGAGAGCCCGTCCGCCGACGGCGAGGATGAGAAACCCGAGGCGTTACAGTGCCCGAAGCTCGGTGCCCCCCCCCTGGACGACGCGCTGCAGGCCCAGCGGGATCAGTACGAGCAACCCGTGGTCATCAGCCAGCCACCCCCACTTTCATCACCACGGCAACAGGGGCCTGACCCGCTAAGTCGCTGCCCCAGCTCGGTGAGCCCCGCCCACTCCATCTTTATTCACACAGCCTCCAGTCCCTGGTCCATGCATCTCACTGTTTCCTGGTCTCTGCAGCAGGAAAGGCAGGATCCAGACTCGGCACCGTCCGGAGGGCAGGGCTCCGACGCGGAATCGGACCCGCAGAGTCTGGATGGCGGGGTCACCGTTCCGGGGTAACGGCCAGCTCTGCTGGCATCACATACAGAAAATAATCCCACGTGGGCTATGAGAGCAGCGGCTGCCAGTTCAGGATCTACACTGCAGCTTAATTACAGACAGGAGGAGGGAAGCAGGCGTAAAACGCAGCACCTGAGCCAGTGTCTGGACCTAAAAACAGCGGCGTAGCCAGAAAATTGACTTTGGCTGTGAAAAGCAAAGTGTGCAGAGTCACATGCACTATAATAACCAGTCAGTCCTCCTCGGTCAAGCCTCTGCTGTTACATTGTAGCTAGAGTTGCGCCACTTTCAATCTGAACAAATAAAGGACAAACCCCCCCCACCCCACCCCGGTCTTCACCAATTAAGCAAAAAAAACAAAATTGCTGAGTTTAATTTAGTTTGACTGGAGCTGTCATCTTGGGTGGCGTCTGTCCCCCCCCCAGGCACACACTTCACACTCATGCCCCAGATCTGTCTGAATTTAGGGAGACATTGAGCTTCTGGATCTGTGTGTCCTGGGGAGCAGAGCGCCTCCCTGTGGATGGAAGGGTGTGGCGGTGGGAGCGTAGCTTGCTTGTGGTTTTGGTTAAACCACGGCTGGTTCATTCCCCCAGGTCCTCACACATTTCTCTCCCCCCCCTCCCCCCCCACCCCGTGTCTTGAGCAGGAAACTCCCAGAATCCCTGGTGTTGTGATGCGTCGCCATGTGGAATGGAGGTGGAGGCTGAGAGGAGAGGCCACCGTGTGACGCTGCTGCGCGGACAGTCCAGTGTCGCCCAGCGCCACCAGCGTGGCATCGCATTTCCCTGCACCACCCACGCTACCCCCCCCCGACCTCCCAGGCCGCTACCCTTACATGACATTGCATGACATCGCCGCACTTGTGTGCAGCTTTCCCATGGTGCCCCCCTGCCCCACTGGATTTACACCGCTGCGAGCGCGTTTAATGCCCCCCCATCTCTCCCCCACTCCTGCCTCGTTGGAAATGTGGAATAGCACACAGTCCGTCACGTAATGTGCTCTAGCAGCTCGACCGGGCAAATGAGATGCAGCCCTGCGAGCTGTATAAAGCTGTATGAAACATAAAAACGTTTTATAGAATATGAAAAGAGATGGGGCTGGTGGGGGGGGGGACACTTACATTCAGGGATTTAATCATATTCCTCCCTGTTCTCTCCTCCTCCGCTGCAGCCGGGTTACAGACACCCTGCCACACTCACTCCCGCTTACACTGTCGGCTGCTTGCCTCTCTCCCGTCTTTTTGGGCGCTACGCTGTGCTACGCTGTGCTGCACTGTGCTACGCTGTGCCATCACGCCTGCCTGCTGCACAACATGCTTTATTTCCTTCTTGAATTTTGTTTTTATCAAAGAAAAAAAAAAAAACTGCACCTCAGTCGTACGTCGCTGTCATAACAATGAAGTGATTTGCTGTTATACCGAAGGATGCAACTATGCAGTAAATCGCACTGCGTGAAGCGCGTCACAGTCACCCAAACTCGCACTGCCCCTGTGAGGGCGTCACGCCCCATTTATGTGACAGATCAGCGCCGTCGGACCTGTAACATTAACTGACCTTTTATTTGTGTGTTTCCTTTTAGCAAAGCTGCCCTTACTTTATAGTTCAGATCATGTAGCTGTGTTTACTGTATATATCTGCTAGTTACTTTGCATTTTTTTAATTATTAGGGTTTTATATTTGAAATGTTTGTGATTCTGGGCTAGTGCACGAGTGCTGCATTAGGGGGCGTTAAAATGTCAGGCATGTGGGTGTTAGGGAACCCCACCACCTAATCTATACCTGGGGTTAAAAGCATGGCTATTTGTTAGTGTGGAGGGGAGGGGGGGTATCTTGGCAATGTCTGCCTTCCTGAAAGCTTTGATGGTCATTCGCGGGATTTTTTGATCGTGTAGCATCCTTTGCAAGATTTCCGTTATTGTTAGGAGCTCTGTCACAGGTCTGAGGGTCTGTATCAGTGACGTTAGGGAACTCCAGTATCAGGACTGCGTGACGCTTTTGTCCAGACACACGATAACATCGCAGTGTGCAAATGCACACAGTTCCCAGCTGGAATAGAGACCAGTGCGTGAAGGTGTGATGGAGAATAAACTCCCATCTTTTAAAGGTTAAGCCATGGAGTAGCTCTGTAGCAAGGCCTGGGCCGCTATATGTGTGCAGGAATGTCTGTAGAGTCCCCAGGCAGAGCATGGAGCATTTTGAAAGCATCAGTTATGGGGCTGTTTCCATGGAAGGTGTGAGTCTGCTGTGTAAACCTTTGTTTGTTTTAACATAGCTGGCTGCAATGATTTCTACAGTATTGTTCTGGTACAATGACTATTTTAAAGGTGTGGCAAAGAAATGTAGCTGAATGGGGTGATGAAAAGGCCCTTTTCAAGGCCTGGGGTCAGGCTGAGATGTGAGGCTGGTTTGTGCAACATCCACGCTAATTTATATTCGCTGCCACACAGTCTGACCCTGGCTGAACAGGCACAGGAAAGGAAACTGGAAGGGAAACTGGCATCAAGAACTTTGAATTATGGCTATTCATCTTTTTTTTTCTTTTTTTTTTACATATATGTAAATATTTTGGAGTTGTTCCTCAAAGCTAACACATGGCAATTTTGTATATTAGTCATGCTAATAATAGTAATTATCCTAAAATGGGTGTAATGTATGGGCTAGGATTGGATCCAAGGACAAGAGCAACCAGTTTATTGGTAGCGCAGAAAGCAGGTAAAGGTAAACAGCTCCAAACTGTAGCTCCAACTCAAGCTGAAAGCCACGGAGTCAATAGGGGCAGCGCTGGGCAAACAGTCCAGATCCCGACAGGCAGGAAAACCGGTAAAGCGAGCAGGAGTCGGCATGGGCACTCGGGACTCCAGACAAACCAGCCAGGTGCAAAGGCCTAACTTTGGATTGAATATTGAGGGGGTTGAGGTCCCCATCATGATAATGTGATTATTTGGGGTGGGGGTGGGGTGGTATTGGCTGGTTCTGATTATTGCGGTTACAGACATGCCCAGTATCCAGGTGGGTGAGCCCAGTGGAGCGGGAACCAGCTGGTTCTGGCTGGATGGACACTCTGCTTGATATGGGGGGGCGATACTAGGCGAATTAGTTTGTTTATCTACTGGTGATAGTTTTCTTTTCCTGATTTCCATACGGCTGCTTAACTTCTGCCCGATGCCATTTCATGGCATGATTTCAGTTACATGGATGTTAGTTAAGGACCAGCAGCCACTTGTTTTAGGTCTTTTTTTCCCCTGTATATTTTTTTTAACCCCCCCCCCAAGGTGTGTGTTTTGTATTGGTGTGTTTTTTGGGTGTTGGGGCGTCACCCGTTTTCACTGCTTGGCCTCCCGCCCCCGCTCTGCGTGGGTGACGTTTTCTATGTAATAAAAAGTCATACAATCCAACTGGCATGTTTCTGCGTTTTGTTTTTCACCGGTGAACGGTGTTCTGGCGGCCCACACTGCCGGGTTACGGTGTTCTGGCGGCCCACACTGCCGGGTTACGGTGTTCTGGCGGCCCACAC